AACACTTACATCTCTTGCAATGTTGCTGTCAGGGGGTCCTTCAACCATCCCTTTTTTCGGACATTTCTTGGTTTTATGTGTTAGTGTCAAGTCTGAACCTGATGGCCCTTCTGATTCACAAGATCGTGACCACTCTGCTAAAGATGAGGCCTCTGAAGAAGACTCCTCAACACTGTTATCTAAGAACACATGACCTTGTGTTAATTTCAATTTGCAAAATACATAACAGAACTACAGTACAATTTTGCATTGTGGGAGAAACCAAAGGCTGCAATTTCTTACCACTGCAACTTTCAGTGAAAACCTTGAAGGACACCTGAGATGACTTCAGAAGTTCATCAAATATGTCCGAATCCACTTCGACTCCTGCAGAATCCTTTATGATCAAGGAAGTAAACGCTGGCAAATTGAATTTTGCCAGCACTAAGACAGAAAAGATGACTTCATTAAGGGTTATAAGATAACATGAAGAGTGAAACCTTGAATGCATGAATAAACATGACAGTCAAATACATGGAAAAACTAATTCCATCTAGATCTATTAGATCTAGTAGCAACATCACAGTGCTGTATTCCTCAGTAACAAGTCATGAATTTAACTTATAATAGCATCAAATAAACATATCCATTGAATATTAAACACCCTTATTAAGAATTACATGACTGATCCTATATTGTTTAAGATTATTGTCATTATTTATACTATATAGATTATCTGCTGGGTATCTTGTAAATTGTGCCTTGTGGATCAAAATTTTTTTACTCTGAAGTAAGTAACTCAAAAATGTATAATTGATTGAACCTATATCACTGACTAAAATTACCTGCGTCTGAAAATTCAGGGTAACTGTAGACATCTTCTGTCTTTGGTACCCTGACCCATTTGCTCACTCCTTTGTAGTCTACTGGAACCAGCATTTCACCACCTTCAAATGGTGGTGTTGAATATATAACGCACACTAGTAAATATATAGTCTACTTCAGAGCCAGGCACTTCGCTATACTGTACTTTGTTAGAGTATGGAATAGTCTTCCTGCTAGTGTAGCGCAAGCTAAAAACCCTGGGTTCCTTTAAATCAGAGCTAGATAAGATTTTAACAACTCTCGAGCCATTAGTTAAGTTATCCCCAAACGAGCTTTATGGGCCGAATGGCTCCTCTCGTTTGTAAATTTATTGTTCTTATGTTCAGTGTGCCGTCTAGTGAAATGCGGCAGGCACATCAGCAAAACGTTGAAATGAAGCACTAGTTGTTGCTAACTCGCCAACATTGACGAGCCCGGTACTCTTCTAAAAATTCAACTGATTTCAACTTGATGCGCCATAGGAAAAACCGCTGTTTGTTTTTTTTCAGGCGCGACCAGATTCATTTAATACGCGATACACAATATTAAAAATGAATCGCAATTAATTCATTGCAAAATGTGAAATTTATTCGTTATTTATTTTTTGTTAATTGACAGCCTTAGTAATTTCGTAAAAGTTGTCCAGGGCGTAGTTTTCCCGCCCGTTAGTCATGTGCTAGCAGCGCATGAATGCTTACAATATATTAAATTAGCGCCATGGAGGCATCAAAATTTCTATAACACATCGTAACGTTTATGCAATAAATACAGCCGAAAAGTAAAATTCACTCAAAATCATTCTAGAACGCGTAAAGGAATTACATAACATACCTGCTGCCAGTGTCTGTATTCGTTAAATGGTCGCCGAAATAAGCAAGACAGTTTCTTTCCAGAGATGGATTCTTCACCGGAAAAGGAGGTGTGGTCAATTTAACACTGACCGTGTAAAAATTAATAAACGACCGATATATGCACCGACACTTTCAAGAACGGATTCTTGAAGTGTTACTCTTGCTAGATTAC